CGATAAGCCCTATAAAAATCTTTGAAAGTCGTTAAAAAATCGGGGCCGACAATGCCCCGAAAACTCCATGCAAACACTTTAACCATAATAATAAAAAGCAAGAAACAAGCACAAAATCAAAGCTTAACGTACGCTACAAACAGACAGGGAAGAAAAGAGTACTCCCTCGAGAGACAAGCGCATCTCATTGATGCACGTCCGAAACGAACATGGCCTGCGACACCAGTACTTTGCTCACATCTAGTGTGGACTCTGAACCCAGCTTGGCATGTGATGTGGGATCAAGACCAATAACGTGAGAGGTAGATGAGGGGCATGGCGCGTTTCTGGATCTGCATTGTGATTCAGGTTTCGGCCACACTCTTGCTACCCTGGGTCGATCTGCTGGAGTGCGATGGAGTGGACGACAGTGGTTGTGGTGGGCCTTTTTCCCTCTCTTTCCCCTTCGCCTTGTATTTTGGTTTATACGCTCGCTTTTCAGACTCCTTATTATGCTTTTTAGGATCACTGTTCGTTGGCACTTGTTCGGCCTTATTAACCGCATTCGGCTGTACATTCCCTGATTTGTCCCCTTAGTTATTGGGTTTTGCACCCATTCTTTTCGGCGTTTGTTCCCTACATCCCAAAGTCCGCTCTCTCACAATCACATGAGCATTCTCCATAGGTTTGCCGTTGGATAGCATGACCACATCCTTAGTCTCCTTGGAATGGAGATCCCTCTTATGAAGTAGCTGGCCCTATTAACGTCTCCCAACCTGCATCTTATTTCTCATGTACTCCCGCTTTACTAACCGCATCTAGGGCCTCCAGATGCTCCGTGAACTCATCATTCAGGTCATCGAGGAGGATAAAGCGGGATCCCAATGGTGTCATCTTTGGAGTGCCTAGGATCTTTTGGTTCTTCAAATCTCATGTGCCAAGGATGGTGCGCGGATTCTGATGCCTTTGGTTCCTCATAGCTAGCACCCCAAGTGTTAAACAATCATGAATCAAGGTGCAAAATCACAAAGAACACGAGATTTTTAACGTGGTTCGGCCTCTCAGAGAGACTTTACATCCACGGTGGTTAGTTGTCTTCTTATTACGTACTTAGCTATGAGCCTTAAACCTAGGCTTTATAGCTCACGATACACGCAGACCCTAACCACAAGAGTTGCGTGTCAAAGTTCACTTTTAGTCCATACAAATATACTAAGTAGGCCAATACTACGGTGCCGCTATAAAAACTGCGGCACCGGTAACGCAGCTTTTCATTGGTCCACGTGGTCATGATGTGGCATCGATTTTGTTTGCTTAATACCAACCGAACCCCCAGTGCCAGTGGCCCATGGCCCAAACCGTCTGTCTCAAAGTAACGGAGAAAGGTTCTCCGTCAAACAATCTGTCTTTGTTTTTATTTATTTATTTATTATTCTTTAAAATATAAAAGGTGGGTACGCTTTACCACCCGCAAAAATTTATTACTGTTTCATTATTTGTCGCCTTCCTAAAGGTGGGTGGGTTTGTGTTCTCCGGAGGGTGGTTGCCAGCGGCGAGTCGAGAACCGACGAATCGGCCGGATCGGAAACGAATTCCACAATCCCTACCCTTACTCTACAGTGTTCGCCGTACACAAGTATGTGTCCTCTGTGCAACCCTTGCCCTGAAACGTGTTTCTTTGGTCTTCGCGTCGCTTCGCCATACTGCTTCCCTGGAATTGCCGATCTACCACGCATAACCAGCTGCGCCTCGGCTAAACACGGCAGTGGCAAAATCGTTGTCCTTGCTCTACATGCTACCTTTTTCCACTTGAGTAAGAAACTGGTCCAGCCCTTTTATCTACGGGTTCTCTTTCCCCCAGCTTTGTTCCCGGTTTCCTCTGTTCTTGCATACCCTCTTCTCCCTATTTCTCTTCAATGAAACACACAGTGACACGCCAAAACACAACACCAAACTGCGACCAAGTGTAATCGCAGTCCGGGAATGCAGTAACAGGCAAGTTTAATTATCAACCCGGGGTCTAGATCTACTGCTTACTCCGTGATTCTCTATTATCTAGCAAACTAATTCGAGTGATTGTTGTTTAAAGCAAAAGCAGTAAGAAAGCAGGAAATGGTTCGGTTTTCAAAAGCAGTTAAGAGTCACTCGGGATTGAGTCCCCCTAGCCCCTTAGTTAGGTCCAATTGCAATTCCCTGGGTTGATTTACTGTTGATTAGACTGCGGAAGATCCGACAGTAGCTTGGAATCTCTTAAGCTGACCAAGCCCTCTCAGTCTAACTACCCGGCAGACGACTAGTCTTCACCGGGATAGAAAGCTGAGGCTATGAACACAGAACTCCACTACTGGCGTCAAGAACACCAGTACAAAGTAGTAAACTGGCTAACTCTCGTATAGCCAATCTCCTACTATCGAATGAAGAGGCTCTAACAACCTAATCAGATTCTATCTATCTCAGGTTGAAGCAGAAATTGAGACAAGCTGATCAGACTCAAATCAATTCATGAAACATGCGTCATTCGATTAAAATCAAACAATAATATCATCCCAAGTCATTACAATCAAATCCCTAACACAAGGAACTAGGGTTCTTCATACCCAAGTGAGAGGAGGGTTCTACTCCATAGAGAGAGAAGAGAAAACAAGAATCGGATTAGTCATACTCATAACGATGAGGATAATCTGCTCCGGGACGATGATGTTCACTCCTATGACGATCTCCAGGCAGAGTAGTCAAAATCCCGATTTAAATCCTAAAATCCTACGGTTTTACGATTTTACTTACCTATTCCGATTCTGATTTCACTATAAAATCTATGGACCTTAAAATCCTACACTATTCACGATTTAAATCCTTAAAATCTTTAAAATCTTACGATTTTACGATTCAAATCTTAGAGTCAATTTTACATATTTCCCCCAGAATTTGCAAAATTACGCCTCTTTTTCTTCTCGGTCACCAGCATCATCTAGTTCTCTCACACTAATCACCATTGATTATAATCAATTCACATCAACGTATTAATCATCATCGATTCACCACCTCTTAACATTAACCTTGATAAATTGGAGCATTAACCTTGAAAAATTATCATTGTAAGTGTTATGTGCTTTTGTGTTATTCATGATTTTCTTTACTAATATTATTTCGTCTTCATTTTTATATGGACCTTAAAATCCTACGATTTTACGATTCGATTTTACGATTCCGATTTTACCCCATTTTCGATTTTACGTAAAATCCCGATTTTGACTGCTTTGCTTGGGATTACCTGTACAGATTCAACGGTCTAAAACCAGGACATTTCGGTTCTTGGAAGATGGATTGGATGCCTGTATTCGCTCGTGGAAGAAGAAGTCGATGTCGTTGGCTGCCAAAGAAATAGTGATCAAATCAGTCGGGTCTGCCTCAACAATCTATGCCATGTCAGCATTCCAGGAGGGTTCTCGTGGTTTGTGGGCGTGGCAAGGGGTGCTCGAGGGCCAGGACTTGTTACTTCGTGGTCTTCGGCGGAGGATTTGGAATGGGGCAGCAGTAAACATCCTAACGGATAAGTGGCTACCATCTTCCCCTTCATCTTCTCCTCTACTGCTCCCTAATGTCTCCCTTCTCTTCACTTTTGTTTCTGAATTAATTTGCCCTCTGACCCATGCTTGGAAAGCTGATCTTTTACATAGCTTGTTTCCAGTGGAGTCTGTTACGTTGATCTTGTCTATCCCATTACCTACTCTGCTTTTCCCGGATAAACTAGTGTGGCACTACTCTCCGACAGGTGAATACATGGTCAAGACGGGATATCAACTATTGTCGACAGAGTTGAACATATTGCAACCGCCGCGAGATTTACCTTATGATAAGCGATTCTGGAAGTTCCTTAGGTAGCTGCCGATACCGCCGAAGCTTCGGGTGTTTTGTTGGAGGATCGCCAGGGGATTCTTACCGGTTCGTGTTGTTCTCCATGTCAAGAGGTTAGTGGACGACAGTACATGTCCCGTCAAAATACCCTTAGTAAACCGTTAACCAAGCCAAAATCCGAAAATTCTTTGAAATTCAAATCATAATTTCTTGAAACTTGCGTACACGGAAAACACAAACATACTTAATAAATCCACATCAAGTCTCAATCCTACTAAGTACATAAGAATTTAATTCCTCATACTAGAATCCGCTTGAGCCTTGAACCTCGTCATGACCAAATCGTCTCCTTTAGTGCACTCCCGATTACCCTACAATCTCTGAGTGCGGACATTGGGGTCAGTCCTAGTCCTAGTTCCATTCTTTACATAATATAAAATTATCCACATGCAAAGCGAGTGCAAATGCTCGTGCATTAAAACATTTACTTGACTTGAAAATGATGCCTTGAAAAGGTTTTCTTGATAAGGGGGCCCCGAACTGAACTTAACTAGCGCAACCATCCGACCACCAAAATGTGATAATCCTGATAAACTTGATAACTTCCTCACAATGGGAATGGAGCTCGAGAAACTTGGTAAAATCAACTTCCTCGCCATGGGAAGGAAGGTGGTCGCTGGCGTAGCTAGTTAGGTGAGTTTTAAAACTTGTTCTCGCTTGCTTGTAAACTTGAATAATCGAGAGCACTTGCTCAAACTGATCCTCCACACAATGAGAAGATATATGCTAAGCACCCTATAAAGTAACTTGCTTTCCCTTGTCTTAAAACATAACCTTGTGATGCAATGCAATGTCATGCTTTCATAAATTGAGAAATGAACATAATGCGTAGGGCTAAATTGCAAGTTTGGTCACTCGAATTGCTACAAAATTTCATATTTGGTCACTCGAATTGGTTTATTCTATTCGTAGTCACTTAAATTAGTTGAACAGTCCAATTTTGGTCACTCTCCGTTAACCTCCGTTAGTACCGTCAGTTAAATGCTGACGTGACTAACAGAGGTGCTTAGTAATCCTATTTTAACCCAAAAAAAAAAAAGAAGACATGCCACGTCATTAACCCCTCCATGTCATAAACTCAACCCAAACCCAATCAACCCCTGAAACAACCCATTCACCCGTTCCCCCTCTCCTTCCCCCCTCTTCTTCCCCAGCTCCGTCCCCATTCAATCTCCTCTGAAAAGGTGAAAAGTCTCTCAAAGCATCGCAGTCACACGCAAACCAAAGGCAGCTTTCATACTCCAAAAACCCCTTCGCTATGACAAACCCCGAAAGAAACGTTTACAATCCCTAACTATCTTCTCATTCCCCTTCCCAACTTCCCCTTTTCAAGATCTGTGCTTTGAAGTAACTTCCTGTAGTCGATCAGTAGTAGCAGCCACCGTACCGGACAGCGGCGGAGCAAAGCAGTGGAAAAATGGCGTACGTCGACCACGCGTTCTCGATTACCGACGACGATCTAATGATGGACGGATCGTACACCAACACCAACCGTCCATCCATCAAGGAAATCGGAATCGCCGTCTCCCTCCTCGTCTTTGGCGTCATCGGTATCGTCGTCGGCTTCTTCATGACCTCCAAGAGTTGGTGGCGACAGAGCTCATGGTAAGATCCTTCCGTCCTTTCGTATCCCTAATCACTTCATCCTCGTTTTTGGACTTGATTTTTTTTGGGGGGGGGGGGGGGGGGGGGGGGGTTAATTAGGGTTTGGATTTCTACCGCTCGGGTTTTAACTATGGTCGTCGAAGTGCTGGGGATCGGTGTTAGTCTGGGAGTGGAGCAGCCGATGATGGTGGATTGGGAGGAGGTCGAAGCGGCGGCGGCGGCGATCAAGAGGGATGATGTGGTGAGGCCAGTATAGAGAGTGGTGGGCGGCGACGAGGAGTGTGAAGTGATGAGGAAGAGAGCGACGTATCTCGCCGGGATGGCTTGACAAGCGGTGGAGAGCGGCAGATCTTCTTATGAGAATGCTACAAATAATGGCGGTGCTCTATGGGGAGTTGAGAGACGGGGAGGAGCATGCTCGGAGGCGGCCTTGTAGGGCTTCGACAGCGACGAAGAGCGACGGGGTCTGGGATTTGGGTGAAAATTAGGCGGTCAATAATAGGGTTTGTGACTAAGCGAATTTATATGGGTGAAAATCGAGATTCTGAAGCGTTTTTATACGATTTTGATCATCTCATATAAATGTGCTAATTGGCTCAAGAATCTGAGAAACACAAAATCATTCATCTACCCTACAAACATCTCTCATTCAGAGTCACAAAACCTTTTTTCCACAAAATTTCTTCCAATAGAGTAGCAGAAGGAGATAGAAATCAAGCATTCTTCTACTAAATCTTCTCTTTAGCTCACTTTCCATTTTCCCACTCCATTGAACCTTCCTTCAGGGAACCCATAAAGCTTCAACAGCTTGGCAAACCTGCTCTATGCCTCTGCCAGAAATAAGGGTTCAAAATCGAAGAAATCGGATGTAAATAGGAAAGTACATGCAATAACATGATTGATGGATCTTCAGGACACCATTCAATCCCTTCATGAGCTACACCAACTACAGATGAATATTGATCACGTGGCTGGAGACTATTGACACAAAAAAACTACCAGTTAATCTTTCAACTAGTTACGTTCAACCACAGCTACACCAACTATACTTCCCTTCTTAGTGGTACTCAACCAACTACCACACTACAGAATACCAATAACAACCAAATTAAATAGAAAAGAAGCTAGATGAAGAGAAAACTAAGTCTGAATAGCTAGGAAGGGAAACTGACCTGTCTCCAAATTATATCGAACCCAAGAGCTTTGATGTTACATCAAAATTTTCCTGGATATCTGCAACCTACAAGAGCAAATGAACTAATGAGAGTGCAAAATACCAGATTTGAGTACTTCCTTAAATTTCCAATCTCTGTCATGTTGTCTATATTTAAGTTAATAAAGCTGGGATCTGCCTTTAATGAAAATTGATAGCAGCTTAGTCAGCAACAAAGTGACCATAATGACAGAACTAGACGTGTCTTCTAAATTTGTGGGATGTTGGCATTTCTCACCTTCAAATGTTCCATTGCTGCTAGAGTGTAACCAAAAGTACACCTTATGTTTATCAATCCAATTCCTCCATCTTGAAATCCCTAAAATATTGAAGGGTTAGTAACATTATATTACATTATAAATGGAGGCATTGAGAGAAGAGTAAGGTAACAAAACAAAGAGACAACGGTGGAGATCAAATAAATAAAAAGCCCCAGCCTTTAAACTCATACATCAACCATTGAGCCTTGAGTTAAAGAGTACTCAGTAGCAAACTTTGCAAGTTTCAAGCCAAATCAAATAAATGTGCTTTATACCCTCCAGTGCGTCTCTTCTTCCCTTTCTATAAGGAAGACATAATTTATCGAACCAACTACTTTTAAGTTCTCATCATCGAGTCCTAAAATGAAATAACCATAAGAACAACGGAAAATGGGAGGGCAGTTACCTGTTTGTTTACCTTACAAACGTCATACACCAAGGCTACGATGAATAGCAGAACAATCAATGCAGAGGAAGACCCCATAGGTTACAGATGCCACGTAGGATTCTTTGCATTACAATCAAAGCACACCTGTAGAAAAGGTCATTGACTTTAATTCCCAAATCCAGCGTAGGAAACAATCCAACATAACTTAAACCAAAGCCATAAGGAAGAAATCATAATTATAAGAAAACATACTTTGTTCTCAGCGTTTACTCTGAGTTTCCTAAACATTGCTTCTTTGTCAGTGAAAGTATCGATAGATTCCATAATATATAGTTGGCTGCTTTCACCAAATAAAGCAAGAGATTGAGGTTAGGGAGAATAGAAGTTGTGGGGCTCCAAAGATGTAAGTGGAGAACTCTTGCTTTCCCAAACCTCAGACACGTATGACACCAGACATTGTTAGTTCATATAATACAAGACAATATAAAATCAAATTAGCATGTCCAAACTGTAATTTAGCAATGCGCATCTCAAGACTAACAAAGGGCTCGAACTAAAACAGAGGAAGTGTTGAGCTCCATATCCAATCTCATGTCAAATGAAACATTACAGAGAGGATGCATCTACCTCTGAATCCATCATTATCATCAAAATAGAACAAGATGAAGCAGAACAGAAGCAAAGCCTTCATGCACATCAATTCCAATACGCTAAACACCCATGGAAAATGAAGGAACACAAAGCAACTCTCATCGCCTAATCAACCCAAATTAACAAACAAGAAAAGAACACTGGCTACTTTAAACCAAACAACAATTCCACAGCCAACTAACTATAGTTATCTCCATGAAGATCAAAGATCTATGACAAAAATCAATACCTAGGGTTTTCAGCAATGTCCTCACAAATGCAGAGAATGACCAGCAACAAATCGACGTAGACGGATCCTGCGGAGAGGTGTCGATTGTCGGAAAAATAGACGAATTCTCCTCCGATCTACCGACGTTCGCCTTCCCCTCTCTCGCACGATTTCAGCGATTCCAAGCAATCTGAGGCGACGGAGATTCGAATAAGAAGTAGCAGACAACAACAACGACGCTGTGAGATCACTGCCAGCGATGAAACCTATCGCCTGCTAGAGAAGCGGAGGAAAGTGCGGAGGACTGCGGGAGACGATTTGCCAACACGCGATTTCAACCCGCGATTTCTGAATCTAGGGTTAGGGATTTGTTATCGGGAGAACAGGGTGTACAAGTGACGACGAACGAGAATGCTATGTTTAGAGAGAGACTAATAGGCTTTTTGGCATTTGTTGAAATTTCTTTTTTGTTTTAATAAAAAACCTGGACCGGTCCTTGAACCGCTGGATGAGACTGCTGTTATATGTAAATCACATGAATGTGGCAGGGATTATGCCAACCGCTGGGAATAAAGGGGTGCCATATGTCCATTTCCTTGTAGTGCATTGACCAACCAGTAATTGCATGCTAATTTCAATCCCCATGCTTCCTATTGTCCTTTATCTCCATCCAGTTCACCACCGCAGCTGATCGTCGATGCCATCGAGACCCTCGTCTCACAGCTTTGTCTTTCTCCTTCTCGCATCAATGGTCCCGGGGCAGCAAGTTCGTTTCCACTTCCCTTGCTTCGGCCACGTCATCAGCTTCCTGCGAAGCAACTCGTAGCACCTGAGAGTAGCAATCATCTCACCACTTCTTCCCCTACTGTATGGTTTGTTGGCAGTGGCGTCGCCCCGTTTATCCTCTCTATTTCCTGGCTGCGCATACCCCTCTCTTAGGGATGCCGGCTACCTCTTCGTAACCTAGAACGAGAAGTGATTATATATGTGGGTTGTGACAACCCTAGTCCAAATCCACGCATTAAATGGGTTTAGCGATCACCACTCTGGCCCAATTCCTTTCGTATAGAGATTAGGAACAACGGCCAATTTAGGTTTGCAGTTTCCATATCTGATAGTTAATTCAAACCTATAAATTTATTGCGGTTTGAACCTAAACCCAAAATTCAGGGTGTTACATGCCGCGTACATATTTTTTGGAACAAAATAACAATTCACAATATAATTAAATATTGATTCCTTCGTTTTTGGAGACACATTTACCAATTTTTCTCCAAAATCACTTATTAAAATAGTATTTACCGGAATGAAATAAAATCAGCTTCTCCTATATTTGTCCCCTATGCTTACTAATTTTGTAGTGATTTCCGGCAACAACAAAGCGACTAGCTTCTCTAACGATCAACAAACATCTCCAATGGCGGGTTTTAGATTAAATTCCGAAGGTCTAAATTGCATTTACAAGCCCTACGAGTTGCATTAGCAAAAAGCAAACGGAAATCATCTTCTTTACTCAATCATTATCATTTTGTAAAATTAATTACTTGTAGTTATTTGAACCCTAAACTAATAGTTAAGGAGTGAAACCGTGGGTCAATTAACATTTAAATGGAGAAAGGATACTTAGTGTTATTTTCCCGGCAAGAGAATCTAGATGAACAGAATTGAATTTGCACTTTTTGACTTCCAAACAAACGATTAAACAACACGGTTCACACCTCTTTGAACAAAGTTCAAACAAAGATGTTCGATGTTCTTGATGATATACGAGGCAAACTAAATTACATTAACTCTACTCCTATAGAGGTTCAGTGACAGCTCCAGAACTAACACTATGGCTAAATTTGCAGAGAAAAAGATAAAAGGATAAAAGTTGACATTGTGTTATCTGGTGTGATTTTGGCGAACCCTTTCTCTGTCATCTTCACCTCCTATTTATATCCACTAGAAGTAACTGCCTCGAGAAACGGCTCTGTTGACGTGGAGTGGCGGTTACCCTCTCAACTGCTTCGATTATGTCTTGTCTTTGGTGGTTGTACCCTCTTCAGTCTTGGCCCCATAATCTTGATAGTTATGCCAGTTGAGAAAATGAAGAAGGCGCGATGACCCACTTGTTACGTTTGGGTGGGTATTTGGATCACACAGGTCAAAAATCGCACATTCGCGGTCTTCCTCGTCCTCCTCTTGTTGGTTCCAGATTTAGTCAAATTACCGGGCCTCCATCCCCATCATCACGTCATGGGGGTGGAGGTATGATGCCCACCCCCCTTACAGGGTATGGCTATACTTCGATACCCAAACTCGGTATGCCATGGGGGTGGCTGTATAGTGCCCACCCCCCTCGGTACCTCCTGTGGGTGGTGGTATAGCACCCACCCCCCTGGCATGTCATGGGGGTGTCTCTCATACTCATTACCTTAGCCAAATTCGGTCATCACCCCCCTCATCACTTTGTGGGGGTGGCAGTATGATGCCCACCCCATCACTGCCCTCAACACGTCATGGGGGTGGCGGTATGATGCCCAC